GCTCTGTATTCCAAGGGCTGGAGTCTAGACCTTCCCCCTTAAAACCTCCTCACCCCAACCCTTGCTAAGCCTCAGCTTATAACCACAAAGTGATATGCAAACATGCTGAAGCCATCTCCCCTTATCTACCTTTATAAGGCAGGTATGAACAGGAAGGCACATGGGGAATGATTCGATTTATGTCACTGCAAATCCCTTTATTGCTGAGAAAAGCCTATTATTATCAGTTATGTAAATTTTCTAAGCCAATAAAAAAATTAAACTGAAAGGTTCCACAAAGCCACTCTCAACAAGGTTCACTCTTATCAACTATTATATAGCTCAGTATCTAATTATTCCTATCTTCGGGCCTTGGTTCTAACATTTCCTCTAAATAATATAGTTTAGTTCTGTACCAGAGTTCTTTCTCAATGATCAAATTTAGCGTCTTTGGGACACATGATTTAAAATAATTAGTATAAATATTTCCAGGTCTTTGATTCATGTTGCAAAGAGATGTTACAAGAACCCAAACATGAAGAACTTTTTTGGATATATCAGCATAAAAAAGATCAGCAACTAGGAACACCGTGAAACCCTCTCATTCAGTTTGTAGAGTTTCTAACATCAACTCCACAAGGAAGGGAGTTAGGAATGTCATCTATGATACAACCACGCATGGGGAAAAATGTAAAAGACCATTAATAGGGGAAAAAAATCTAACATTTTTAAATGGTTATTTTTGTGTGGTGAAATATAAGTAATTGCTCGCTCCTTCTGCTCTTGTTATTCTCTATATTTTAAATACAGTTTTAAATATAGTTTTAAAAATAGAGAAAAATCCATATTTCATAAAATCTAAGATACCATCAATTTTCTATTTGCTTTTTTTGGTCAGTTTTAGTAATGTACAATTTACATACAAAAATACCAATTTTAAGCATACAATTTAATGAGCTTTGACAAATGGATTTAGTTGTGTGACCACCACCAACATCATGAAAAAGAACACGATGTTAATATTTTCCACATAACATTGACTTCTATGTCAACAGTGGTATTACTGAGACAGCCTTTTATTTTGGAAGTATGCACCATCGTTGCTTCTGAGATTCTTCTTCAAGCCACTAACAATGTTCTGTTAATTTTGATGCTGACACTTGATCTTACCAGACTGAATTCCTTATCAGAAAAAAAATCCCTATTCCTTCCTTAAATGGTTTATAGACTGAAATGGTGAAGGGTTTCAGTTGTCTAGTCATGTCACCAGCAATGACAACCGAGATTGCATATGGCCAGGCACTGACAACTGAATCAGCGGCCCAAAAGTAGTCACTGTAAAATATCATCAATTGTAAGATACACCCCCGTTTCAGAGATGTAAGAAGATGTAAATAGGTACATCTAAGAAATATGAAATACAGTATAAAATAAGTATACTTTGTAAAAGTGGTCTTCTTTATCTTAGATCTGTGTATTTCAACACAGAAAATACACAGATAAAAGCTTAACATCTATCATTCTTAAACTGCATCATGCAATTTAGCAACCAATTAATCACAGTCTTAAAATATGCTCCAAAGGCAGTAATTTCTCTGACACTGGCCATAGCAACATTTTTCTAGATACGTCTCCTGAGGCAAAGGAAATGAAAGCAAAAATAAACTACTGGGACTACATCAAAATAAAAAGCTTCTGCACAGTGAAGGAAACAATCAACAAAACTAAATGACAGCATACTGAGTGGGAGAAGATATTTGCAAATGATATCCAATAAAGGGTTAGTATCCAAAATATATAAAGAATTTATATAGCTCAACACCAACCCCCCCCAAATAATCCAGTTAAAAATGGGCAGAAGTGGGGCACCTGGGTGGCTCAGTCAGTTAAGCATCCGACTCTTGATTTCAGCACAGGTCATGATCTCAGGGTTGTGAGATCAAGACCCACATCGGGCTCTGCGCTAGGTGTGGAGCCTGCTTAAGATTCTCTCTCTCCCTCTCCCTCTGCCTCTCTCTCTAAAAAAATAAGAAAAGAAAAAGGCAGAAGACATGAACAGGCATTCTTCAAAGAAGACATCCAGATGGCCAACGGACATGAAAAGATGCTCAACATCACTCATCATCAGGGACATGCAAATCAAAACTACAATGAAATATCACCTCACACCTATCAGAATAGCTAAAACCAAAAACACAAGAAACAAGTGTTGGCAAGGATGTGGAGAAAAAGGAACCCTCATGCATTATTGGTGGGAATGCAAACTAGCTCAGCCACTGTGGAAAACAGTATAGAGGCTTCTCAAAAATTAATTTTTTATGATGCAGTAATTACACTATTGGGTATTTACCCAGAGAATACAAAACATTAATTTGAAGGAATATATACACCCCTATGTTTACTGCAGCATTACTTATAAGAGCCAAACTATGGAAACAGCCCAAGTGTCTGCTGATAGATGAATGGATAAAGAAGACATGGTGTGTATGTGTGTGTGTGTGTGTATATATATATATATATATACCTATAAAAAATGGAATACTATTCAGCCATAAAAAAGAATGAAATCTTGCCACTTCCAACAGCATGAAAAGAGCTAGAGAGTATAATGCTAAGCGAAAGAGGTCAAATACCATATGATTTCACTCATATGTGGAATTTAAGAAACAAATCAAATAAGCAAAGGAAAAACAAAAAGAGAGAGAGAAACCAAGAAACAGACTCTTACCTACTGAGAACAAACAGAGGGTCACCAGAGGGGAGGAAGGGAGGGGGGATGGGTGAAAGAGGTGAGGGGATTAAGGGTACATTTATCATGGTGAGCACTGAGTCATGTATAGAGTTGTTGAATCACTGCACCCAAAATAAAAAAAAAAACTTAAAAGGGGCGCCTGGGTGGCTCAGTCAGTTAGGCATCTGACTTGACCTCAGGTCATGATCTCAGGGTCCTGGGATCAGGCCTTGCATTGGGCTCTGCACTCAGTGGGGCATCTGCTTGTCCCTCTGCCCCTCCCTCTGCTTGTGCTCTCTCTCTCTCTCTCTCTCTCTCTCTCTCTGTCTTTCTCAGGTAAATAAATAAAATCTTTAAAAAAATTTTAACTAAAAAAAAATAAAGAAAAAACTTAATAAAGAAAAAATATGCTCCAGTGGTTTGTAAGTTAGTATTCTCTCCCCAAGTAGACTACAAGTCTCTCTCCCTTAGGAACTTTACCTTCAATTCCTCTCATATTGTTTACAGCATTAATTTTTACATTTTGTATAATGACTCATTAGACAGTCATGATATCATTTTAGAGGGTCATGACCAGCACTTTTTAAACAAAATAGAATAAAATAAAAAACATAAAAGTGCAATACATAGTAAAAGTAAGAACCATTTCATAATACTTTGGGGTTTTTTCAATTATATTTACATATATGTATACTGTGATATCAAATGTATTTCTTATAGTATGCTATAATCAAAAATGTTTGAAAATATCACTATAATAGCATTAAGAAACATTCAGTAATATTGATTAATTGATTTTTGCAGACTGAAGCCAATTTTAAACTTTTTTAAGTGGTCCAAAATTACAGTTTAATTCTTTAAAATCTATTATCAGGTTGGTATACCCTTACCTTCTTTCAGCAAGGACAATATTAGAAAAAAAAATCTTGCAATCTCTCTGTTTATCTGGATGATTACAATATCACAACATATTTCTGTTGTGATAAATCTAACATACATTTTTTTCTAAAGAGGAAGGGTCTCAATTCCCGACTTCCAAATGAGAAAGTCAGAGTTTGACCATCTGGACTGGACCCAGACTTCTGAATCCTGAAGAGGCAATTATTTAGCACTCTTTCACACTGAGATTCTTTAAACAAATATTCAACGTTTATTGGAAGGAAAGCACTCTCCTCAGCTCTACGATCAGGAAGTCTGGCCCCAAATCTACAAACTCAAACCAATGACACAAAGCCTGATCCATCCTCCCTTGAAAGCAGTATCAGGACTACTTAGTTGAGTTTCCCAAACACACCACTTGAGGGGACCTCAACCTCTCAGGCCTATAACTTAGCACAATATTTCTTCCAACAAAGTCAGTAGTCTTTAAGGGAAGAGTTCTGGTACATATCTTTTCTTCCCTGTTACCTTCTGTTATGTTCTCAGTAATATACAGCTCCCAGGTAAACTGACTTCCTGCAGAGCTGCCAGGCTAACCTACCTCTCACTCCTCTTAATCTAGCTCTGGCTGTAACAGGAAAATCTCTGCCTGGTCATGTCACAACAGCCTTCAGCATTTTTTTAAACCCATTGAGCTTCATCTTCTTCATCTGTGGACAAAATGAGCTCTCTGCCTTTGTGTGATCTAATGCTCTATTCTCCATGGTTTCCTACCTTTGATGAGTTTTCATATCTGCTCCAAAGAATGGCGGTTATAAAAGATGGGAGTATGGACTTCACAGCCATGCCCCCTTTTTAGCTGCAAAAATTCTACTATAATCAGTTTTCTTTGCTAAATCTAAGTAAGGTTTTATTTTAATAAATGACCCCTGGACAAAGTAAATACAAATATTATAGGAAATTTACTCATTTCAAGTATTTGTTAAGTAGCCCCAATGTACCAGACATTGTTCTAGGTGCTAGAGTTTTCCTTGTGAACAAGACAGAGAAGGCCCCTGCCCTGGTGAATATTTGAATGACTATTTATGTTAATTTGTAAACTGGAAAGTACTACATAATATGTTTGCTTACATAAGTGAATACAAAAAAAATAATTCCTTATTTAATTGTTAAAATATCTCTGTCAGATCTCGTATTGTTCTGGCCCATAAGAATATAGCTGGAAAAAAAAAAATCCCTAAAGTCAACTAGAAAAGAAAAACATCTCATAAAGAGAACGAATTTCTGTAAAATATATCTCACTAAATGATGGTAACAAAGATATTACAGCATTTCCTTTTAAATAAGGAAGTACAGGTAATCTATAAGATTAACATCATGAGAACAGAGACTAAAATAAGTAAGAACATACCAGTATTGTTTCAGTATTGTTTTGGCTCAGTAACAGCCATCTCTTTCTCAACACTGTAAACTCCTTGAGGGTAGAAGATGTGTATCTATTTCTCTCACAGCACCTACAATGGGACTTTATTACATATTAGCTTGAGGAATGAAATGTGCCAAGCACTCAACTCTGGGAAATTACACCCCACTGCCACCACCATTGTTAGTAGAGTGAATACACGACCCTGGTTTACCCAGGACAGTTAAGCCTGTTGTGGGGTAAGAGTGCCATGTTTGGCAAGATAAATCATATGCCAGCCCAAATAATAAGCCTCAAACACATGCATCCTGTTTTTCAGTGGCTTTTAAGGTAAGGAACTCTAGAACATTCTGGCTCAGGTTCTGATTTTATTTTATTTTACCCTGTAAGCAAGCAGAGTAAGTGTAGGGGTGCCTGGGTGGCTCAGTTGGTTGAGCGTCCAACTCTTGATTTCAGCTCAGGTCATGATCTTAGGGTTTTGAGATCGAGCCGTGTGTTGGGCTCCATGCTGAGCGTGGAGCCTGCTTAAGATTCTCTCCCTCTCCCTCTCTCCACTTCCATGCTCTCCCTACAAAAAAAAAAAAAAAAGAGTAAGTGGAGACCTTGAGAACTGCATTCCTATTCCACTTTCATTATAGTATGGAGAAGTATAGTCCCTTAGGGGGAAAGTTTGTCTTTGGGAGACCGAGCTAAACCACAAGCACACCTTGCTCTATGAAGACAAGGCCTGGCTGAAGGGCAAAAAAGTCTCACGTTTCCAGCACAAATAAAGATATGACTCGAAAAGAACCTTTCACCTCAATCCTGGTGTTCCAACATTTCTATTGGGCGGATATGCCTTGCTGCCTGCTACATCAAGGGATTTAGGAGGATAATTGGATCACATCTGTTAATCTCTTTGAGTTCCATAAAAACGGATGCCAGATACATTCCTGGCATTGTTAGAACGACGTTACAAAGGCCAGACTGTAGGAGAATTTTTCACTAGTCATAACTTCAGGGAAATTATCCCACCCTAGACTTCAGCATTCATCAAACACGCATAATAATGATAATAGTAATAACAACATAGTCGCATCTATTTGCCTCTTGCCCACTGGCTCTCACACAACAACCTTGCAAAAGTGGAGAGGGAGGCAACAACTTGGAGAAGAGAGCAGCCCACCTTTACGTCAGGGAAATGCCTACGTGAATGGCCAAGCTTTGAACATAGAGAAGAGCCTGGAAGAGAAATAAAGTAAAAGCAGTCTGCATCATTGGTATTGATATAAATAAATTTCAGACCAGGGCGCTAAGCCCTGGCCTCCTGATCTCTAATGCCCCTCTGTCCTGGGCCTGGCAGTGATGTGGGCAGCTCGGTGGTAGCTCCAACAACACACCAGACACCCTACAGAGAAGGTCCCAGAAGAGGAAGCAGCATCTCCCTTCTTCCTGAGGTGAAGCTAACTCCTGCCCAGTCCTAGAGGTTCAAATTAGATAAAAAGAGTTCTGGAGACATTGCTCTGACCCAAGGGGAAGTGTGAAGCTAGGTGCCCACCCAGGTATTCTTGAGGACAAGAAATGTATAAATCTATGTCAAAATGACAGGCTTATGTCACCCTGGACATATATAAGACAGGACATATAACCCAAATTTAATTCTGGTAACAGATTAACTTACCTCCCCTTTTTCCTCTTTCCTTATTACTTCTTGGCTACCCCACTTTCTTACCCAAAAGTGAAAAATCGTTTAACCTCTCTGGATTTTAGTTTCTTCATTGGCAAGATTGGTGGGGCAGTGGGTAGGGGGGAAGGGACAACCCCAGAGTGTTGGAGAAACCCCATATTCTTTCATGAGGCAAAGGTATGGCTATCATCTCCTTCCCCAATCATGCTGGCAAAGTCAGGGGACCGAAGGGAAAGGAACCTGAGGCACAGACACCAAAGGCAAGCCAATTCTGTTGCTACAACAAAGGATGGTTATAGTGTAATCAGAGCCATACAAGGTCCCATAAAGCACTTTATTCACGACAATACTCACTTCAGTGCCTTCTACTTTCTTTCCCTCTGTCTTCAGCTTGGGGCTTGGAGTCAAAGTGACTGGCACCCTCGTTGCCCCCATCTGCCCTGCCTATAGAAAGGGGCAGAGAACTGGAGGTTGGGAGCCCGGGGTCCAGCACATTCAAAAGAGCAAACAGTGGTGTGGCCCTGGCATAGGAATTTAACCTCCTAGACTGATTCTCTTCACCCGTGCAATCAAGGATTTAGGCTCCAGGAAATTGAAGATCTCTTCCTACTCAAATACCTGCAATTTCCTAACACTCCTTACTCTTTCCTTTGTGACCCTTCTGACTTCTTACAGTTGTGCTTGTACTCCCAAGCGCCTATGTATTTAACCATCTGGCGGAGGCAGAATAACCCAGAGATTAAAAAGTATAGCTTTGGTACCAGAGAAACCAGAATTCAAGGTCCAATCCTACTACACACCAGCTGTATAACTTTGGGTAAGTTATCGTGCCTTCTCTATAAAATGTTATTAAGAACAGTATCTACCTCATATGGCTATTGTGAGGATTAAATGAGATACTTCATGCAAAATGCTTGACACAGAGACTTAGGTGATCATTTCACGGTCTGTATAAATATCAAATCATTATGTTGTGTACCTGAAACTAATATATGTTATATGTCAATTACATATATATGTAATTATATATGCTTGACACATACTCATTCAATTATTCAAGCACCTACTGTGTGACAGGCACAGTGCTAGACCCTGGGAGAGCAACAGTAAGCAAAACAGATAAGGTCCCTGCCTATATGGAAGTTATCATCCAGTGGGGGAGCGAGCTCTTGAACAAATCATTGCAAAAGTACAAGAGTGATATGTATTATGAAAGAGCCATCTAGAGATAGGACACTGAGGATTGTAACAAGGAAGTTAATTTTGGTGGTGGCATGGCAAAAAAGTCTTCCTTAAGGAAACTCTGAGTCTGAGTAAAATGGGGTCAAGGAAAGAGTAGGAACAAGATCCCAAGCAAGGCTGAGGAAGGGCTGGTGAAAACCCGAGAGCTAGAAGGAGTGGCCATGCCTGAGACCCTGAGTGCAGGAGGGGCTCAAGAAGTCCACGGGGGTTCCATCAGGCAGGTAGAGGAGGCACAACAGGGTAGCTGTTGGCATGATTAGTCTCCCCACAGATGTAATGGATCCAAAATGGAAACTGTCTTTCTGGCAAAAGCAGCTCTTCCCTCCTGCTTTCCCCATTTCTTGTCATGGCATTATTTTGCTGACCCTCCTAGTTTGAAGTCCTCCCTGGCACTTTTCTCCCTTTCCATTCATTTATTCCACAAATTTTAAGTACCTACTGTGCTCGAGATACATTATCTAGCACTTCAACTTTTGAGATCTTCCACCCTGGGCCCCCGCTGTATGTATTCTATATATTCTGGATGAAAGCCTGAGGGTCACTCCTCTTCTGACCTCCAACAGCATACTCAAAGTCAGTGACAGATACTTTTCTCACTACTTAGAGGCCTCTTCATTTCATAGATCATTAACCCCCAGGTAGCCAGAAACCTGAGATAAAGTGAATGTGTAGGAGAGATGCTCTTGTTTAGTAACTGTATTACTTATGCAAGTGATTCTGCTCTTTTGATGGGAAAATTGCAACAGGCAATGAATGACCTACAAGTGAGTGTTAGACCTAATATCCCCATCCTCATCCCAATCATAAGGCAAAAAAATCTAAATAGCCTTTGTATTGCATTAAATATATGTTTGAAATGGGAGAGTAATAGACTTAGACCATTTCCTAAAAATTTACCTGGGCCTCAAAATGCATGGCTAGGTCCTTGAATGTATTCCATGACCCCCACATAATAAAGGTTTAAAACTCCCCAGTTATAATCTTATACACAAGCATCTGAGGCCTTTCCAAAAAACCCCTCTTGTCCAAAACAAGACATACTTTAGCTTTGGGCCAAAGTAAGCCCTAACCTAACATGTTATCAGCAGCTACAATGATGGAGATTTGCCCTATTGATAATTCTCTGGTTATTGAACTTGTGGTAAGTACTTTAATGCATATATTTTCCTCCTCCTTGAAGCTCCTGTTCTTTCTCAAAGAAAAGTAAAAACTAAAGCTATTTCTGCATCTACTTTGTTGTTATGGCATCTTTATACCTGCAGATAAATCCTCGTTTGTGCATTTTGTTGGTGGTTTCTCGCTCTTTCTCTTTGTGCCCCTCCCGCCCTCTTAATTGTTGGAAACTTAAAATGAAAATGAATCAGCAACAGTGAATGCTGCACTTAAGGAAATGTAAGATCTGGTTTATAATTTATGCACTGACTCCCCAAGGAACTTAAGTATTTAATTCCTAATTTATGAAGAAAGTATGAGTAACAGCATCTCTCAATTTGATTCAACTTGTTCATTTTATCCAAATCTCATGTCTAGACTTAGTTCTCACTCAACATTCATATCACCAGCAGCTGAATCCCTAGATGTGGAGTTGAAGTAAAATATTTGTGTTTACCCAAAATGCCTTATTTCTGGTTTCAAGACAAACCAGAGCAGAGTGTCTTTGATATTCTCAGAAAACAGTAGTCTTCTACCTGATGGTAAACAGCATTAGACAAAGGACTGACTTCTCAGGGAGCTACAGGAGAGAGAAGGAAAGGGGGAGGAAGGTAATCACATAAGAGAAGCATTTTTTAATCTGATGAATCAGTAATCAGCTAAATATTTCCAAAATGTTTTAGGAATCATTTTATTCGTGTCTTTCCCATCAGCACACCTAATCTAAACTTCTCTCTCTGGCTTTGCAGAGTTGGCACTCTCCATCCTTTCTAATCATATCTTTCACTACCCCCACCCAGTGCAAAGTGCCTGCCCCTCACACCTTTGTAGCTGGGTGACTTGACCATCTAGGAGGTGTGCACATGTGGGTAAGAACACTAGACAAGGAGGTGGTAAGCCTGCATTTTATTCCTCTCTCACTAATAACCTGGGTGACCTTAGCTATGTCACTTAACCTCCCTGAGCCTCAATTTCTTCATTTATAAGATGAGAGGGTTCGCTGGATACCATCTGATTATATCACTTCTTAGAGCTTTCTCTAAGCCTACCTTACTAACCTAAATATTCTTTTAATTCCACAGTACTTATCATTTGATATAATATATATTTTACTCAATTTTTCTAAAATCCCTCCATTAGAATGCAAGCTCTGTGTGTGCAAGGATTTCTTCCCATTTTGTTCACTGCTGTATTTCCAGCATTTAAAGAAGTTCAAAGCATCATAGCCACTAAATAAGTATTTGTTGAATGAATTAATGTATTAAAGAATCATACATATTATTCTTCCTTAAAGATGCTCTGCGGGTCAAATTTCCCCCATCAGACTGCTGGCAACTCCAAACCCAAATCTCTCCCTTCCATGAACTTCTAA